CCAGTTACAATTCTTTTAGCTAGAAGCATCTGCCAGGAAGAACGTGCCACTGGCGAAAAAAACCTGTGGGGAGAACTGTGCAAAAAACGCATCCTCGTATCGGCAGCCGGTACACTTTCGACTAGATTTACGTACGTTAAAACCTGTTAGAATAAAACTTTTTGCAAATTTTGAGATTGCTGATATTGTTTACTTTTTGTGTTTCCACGCAAACTTTAGCATCATGACAAGGGCGACAAAGCACTCTACGTTCCTGTACTTTTCCAGTCTGCGAAGGGGCACCGGAAGATTTCTAATTTCACAAATAATAATTTTACTAATTTTACAAATTTTCTAATTCTCATTTCCCACCTTCCTTTTTGATTCTTCTTGTTTCAGCTCTTGTTAATACATCTTCCTTTTTATTGGTATCCGAGAAATCTCATGCTCTCTATGATTATTGTGCCATTTTTAGCTCCGAAACCGTTCATGGAATTAAGCTTCATAAAACGAGTATCGGAGCATAGCCGAATCGCCCAGATAAAATATCTGCGTCTGTTGGTGCAAGAATTTGCGGTGCAGGTGGATCAAGGCTTCCTGAACGCAGTCTTAACATTAACATCGACCGAAGAGGGCACCAAACCATATACTGTTAGATTTAAATTTTTCTATTTTACCGGCTTTATATTAATTCTCATGTCGACTTATTTCACATTTTATGTATTTTTTTACGATTTTTCATGGCGGAAAAATTGATGGATTTTCGAAGATAAATCTACGCTAAGCTTGTAATCTCTCACATGCCAGGCACATTTGATTTTCATTTACTTACACATTTTAGTTAAATTTCCTTAATTAATTGTAGTTACCTTATTTTTGTTAACAAGCATGATTTTACTTAACTGTTCTCATTAATTTTGCTTTCATTAATTGTTTTCATTATTTTTCGCTTTTATTTTTGTTATTTTTTATTTTATTTTGTCAATTTTTTATTTTATTAATTACTTTTCATTAATGTTAGTTTGATTTCATTAATTATTTTGCTTAATTACCTTAATTTCTGACAGTCCTTAAATCTCCTGAAATTTACTGCAGTAAATGACAGGGTATTATTTGAGTTGCGATTTGCAGAAGGAACTATACGTAAAGGATATTGAAATGACGAAAAATCGGCTAGCACTGGTGGCGGATGCAACAACAGCATCTCAGCAGAAAGCATTCTATGAAGATTTACATATCTCCCCTCTAATGGCATGTTTTTCCGGATTATCTAAACAAAATATAGATAAAATTAAGCTGGATTATTTTTGAAGGACTGGGGGAATGAGAATTAGGGAAATAAATTTGCTAAGATTAAGGTAAGCACTTGTGCGAAATGAAATACAGGGACCTAGAGCAGCTAACTTGTGCCTAATTTCTTGATAGTTGTCATGCGACCCACCGAAAATGCCTTGAATTTCGGGAATTCCTTCACTCAGTTGACTGGGATTTCATCCTGGTTACAGATTCGGAGAGTTGAAGCAACCGTTTTAGTAATTAATTGTTTTGAATGAATTTAACTAATATAAGAGAGTTTTGTCTTGTTCTTTCAGATACATTTATCGTTCTCACAGGGCGGTAGCTCGGGTGGCAAAAAAACAAACGTACGAGCAAATGCAAAAGCAAAAGAACCAGCACAGCCACCACCAATCCAATCTGAATTTGTCAATGTTTTCCTAAAGAGTGTCGGTGTAACAGTGACCGAAATACAAGATGTTGTGTTCAAGTATGTCCATTTTTATTTTCCGGGGTTTTTTTGTGCCTGTGCGCATTAGGATAGCCATTAGGCTGACTACAGCACAAGGCGATGCAGCATGGGCTGAAACAAACTGGAAAAGTTACCGGGGTGCGTTGTGAGGGAACCAGATCATGTATGAATCATTAGCAAGCGCATCGACTGGCGGTGCGAAGATGCATTTTTTGCACAATTTTTCTTCAAGTTTTTATAGCCAATTGCGTCGGTTTTTCCGGCAGGTGCTTCTGGTTAATTAAGAGTGGCCACCACAACTATGAAAAATTATTACAACGACTTACAATCCATGCGCAGAAAATTCAGCACTCTAGACGCTTCAGTTGCAAAGTTTCGTCAAACTTCACATTTCCGTACTTGAAGGAAAACGTGGACGTCGTTCCAGCGTTTCTCAAACAAGGCACTGGACCATGCTCAAAAAAAAAAAAAAAAAAT